CAAGTGATAGGAACAATTGGTGTCCGAAAGACATGGTTAAAAAGACTGTAAAGTGTTCAGGATTTGGGGTTGGTTTGAAAGGAGACACAAGTGTAGTAGCGGAAGGAGAAGAGGCTGACCCGAAGTGTAGGCAATGTGAGGTCGAGGAAAAATGAAGAAAATGATGGTTGCCCAGAGTGACCTGCTGATGAGAATCACCGAGCTCGAGACTGCATTGGCGACAGAGCAAGAGAAAACGACGGCTATGGGAGAAAGGCTGAAGTCCGCCAAGGAAGCACTGGCCAAGGTGAACAGAAGAGTGGCCTACGGAGAGAACAGTAGGGAACCAGCAACCATAACGGCGAAGAAAGAGCAAGCAAGTTTTGAAAGAACAGGTTCAGCTGGTTCAATTGTCGCAAGGCCCAGCTTCAGCGAAGTAGCGGTGGGGTGGGGAGGAGACAAAGCAGCCGGCGTCACAGGTGCAAGTTACCCCCAGGTGCAGGACGCTCCAGCTGAAAAGTCACAGCATGTGATAATCACCGGGGACTCGAATTCAAATTGATGCACAGAAGCCATGAAAGAGAGGGTAAGAGGTGACAAGAGGGTTGCAGTTGGGGGCGTTCCCAGGACGCAAGCTGGAAGAAGTCATGAGGCTAGCGAGCGCAAAACTCAAAACTACAGCTGATAGACGAAACCTCGTGATAATTTCAGGCGGTTCAAACGATGTCTTGAATGAAGATACAGCAGTTCTAGCAACCACACTGGCGAAAGGCGTCGATGACATGCGCGCCACTTCCCCTCAGGTACAGGTAGTGATATGCACGATACCTGAGGTACCGGTGCGTGATATCAACCTGCAAAGAGCGGTTGTCAACGCAAACCAAGAGATATGGCGGATGACTCGAGAGAAAGGCTTTGAGGTGGTGGAAATAAACAGAGAGGTGCCTAGGTGGGGTGGTTTTCAACGAGACAGAATTCACTTCGATGGGCGGCTAGGTCAAGAGGTGGGTTGGCGGCTTGCAGGGCACGCAGTAGCTTTTTTGAGGGGCAAGGGGGCCCTTCAGGGTGCAGAATAGATAGTAATGAGGAAAACGACCAGAGAGACTCTTTGACAGGTGGTATGGAAAGATACAATTTCAAAGTGGCACGAGTATCTAAGATAGGTAAAGTCCGGGGCAGAAATAGACGTAGCCACCAGCGCCGAGCCAATGCAGACACGGGGTATATTAACATGCAGGGTGGTAGGAACAGGCTGAGGTGGGAAGAGATAGAAGACCACCTAAGGCAGGAGAGGCCGATTGTATATGGTTTTTTTAGAAACACATCTTAGGGACATGGAACAACCACCTAACAATGCGGACTCCGCGTGGGATTATTGTAATAGAACAGAAGGGAGCAGAAAGGGGGGTGGTATTGGGGCATTCATTCATAAATGTACAGACTGGCAAAGGGTCAAGCAGGAGTTCAAGGAACATTTATGGCTAAAAGGGAAAGTGGCAGAGCAAATGACACTCCTTGGTTTCGTGTACTTGTGGACGGGAGCAAAGGCCAAAGAGGAAAACCAGGCAATGGTAGAGTGTATATCAAATGACATTCAGGAGTTAGGAGGAGAGTGCGAGATAAATATAATAGGAGATATGAATGCGCACATGGAAGATATGGATGGGTATACCGACCCGACAGGCAAAATGATCATGAATATGTGTGAAAGGCTTAATTTGATCATATGCAACAGGACCGACAAGTGTGAAGGCCAAATAACATGGAAGTTAGGATGGCTGCAGTCGACTATAGCTTACGCACTGATGTCACATAGGATGTATGAGCTCAGGGGAATGCACATAGATGAAAGTGGCTCCAGAAGTCTGGTAAGTGATCACAAACATATCAAGCTAAGTTTTGGAAGAGCAGTGAAAGTGGGAAGGAGACAAGATGAGCAACTACAGGAAAATTTTTATTCAAAAAGGCGAAATGAAATAGCCACTAAACAAATTGAGAAAGTCATCACTGAGGATAATAAAACAGTGTGTACATACACGAATCTAATTAGACTGTTTGAGCTAGAGCTTGCTAAGGCACGTACGAAGTCACCCAGGTAAAAGACACAAACCCAAAAGTTGGTGGGATGAGGAAGTTAGGAGAGCCTTAGCAAAACGTCAGGAAGCCTCTAGGAAACACAGACATGCTAAGCAGCGGGGTGAATCGACAGTTGATGTTGAAAGAAAATGGTAAATCTTTCTAAGCTATAGAAGGGATGCATTCCTTCTGATCAATGAAAAGATTAGAAGAAAAAGAGCTCAGTGGCTTGCAGAAGTACATAAAAAAGATGGAAAGGCAGCTGCGAAATTTTGGAACCATCTAAACTTCCTAAGAAATGACGAGCCTAGAGCAGAGGTTTATAACTACAGCCCAAGGTGCCAGGCTAGAAGGGGATGAAGGTAATGAATATATAAGAACAAGGGTGGCAGAAAAATTTCAACAAAGAAGTGCTTTATGCACCACAATAGACAAGGACGAATCAAGTGGTGCAATGGCTCCATTTTCACAACGAGAGCGGGAAAGGGCTGAGAAAAGGGTTCGTAGTAGTGCATCAAGAGGCCCAGATGCCATTCCAAATACGCTAATAAGTAAATTAGGGTCGAAGTCTAAGCAGGCTTTGAGAGAGGTAGTGAGAAAAATAATAATCGTTGGAGAAGTTCCCAATGAATGAAAACTTAGCAGGATGAGCATGATCTATAAAGAAAAGGGGGACATAGCTGACATAAACAACTACCGTCCTGTAACAGTGACATCAGTGGTCTACAGGCTGGCGATGCAGATTATGAAGGAAAGACTGCAGGCATGGATAGAGAATGAGGGGGTGCGGGGGAACTACAGAATAGGTTTCGAAAACACAGGAAGTTGGAAGATAATCAGCTCTCACTGACGCAGTGCATCAAAATAGCAGAAAAAGAACACAGGCCCCTATGTTTAGCATTTTTGAATATCAAGAAAGCGTACAATAGCGTGGTTCAAGACGAATTATGGGAAATACTGGACACACTAAGCGTGGAAAATGGGGTCACTAATCTTTGAAAGAATATCTACTAATTTAACAAGGTAGTTATAAAGTGGAAAAAACAGGTATCCAATCCTGCAGAGGTAAAATGAGGGTTTAGGCAGGGGTGTCCCCTGTCACCCTTAATATTCATGATGTACCTACAATGGTTAGAGGCCAAATTAAAGGAAAGTGGACTGGGCTTCAACCTCTCTTTCGTCAAACAAGAAAAACTCATTGAACAGGCACTACCAGCATTGATTTACGCAGATGATATAGTGCTAATGACCGACAGCAAGGAAGATTTGCAGAGATTGTTAGGCATCTGCGGTAATGAGGGAGATAGGTTAGATTTCAGATTCAGGAAGGAAAAATCAGCCGTCATGATTTTTAATGTCAATGAAGGTAGTGAGCTCAGAATACAGGAGGTCACGCTAGAGATAACAGATAAATACAAATATCTGGCCGTATGGATAAGCAATGGGGCCGAGTATCTAAGGGAACACAAAATATGCGTGTCGACTAAAGGTAACAGAAATGCAGCGGTAATGAAAAACAGGGCACTGTGGAATTACAATAGGTATGATGTTGTGAGAGGAATATGGAAAGGGGTCATGGTTCCTGGCCTGACGTTCGGCAATGCGGTGTCGTGCATTAGATTGGAAGTTCAAGCATGACTAGAAATTAAGCAACGTGGAATAGGTAGGCTCGCCTTAGGAGCTCACGGGAATACACCAGATCAGGGAGTACAAGGTGATATGGGATGGACATCATTGAAGGGCAGGGAAGCTAGCAGCAAGATAAAATTTGAGAAGTGATTGAGACAAATGGGGGAGGAGCGTTGGCCTAGGAAGGTATTCATCTACTTGTACATGAAGAATGTCGATACAAAATGGAGGAAGAGAACCAGAAAATTGACTGGTAAATACTTAGACAACAGCAGAGGGGTCAAACCAAAACGAATAATCGGTTAAGAAGAAGGTGAAGGAAGCTGAGACCGATATGTGGAGAATTGGCATGATTAAGAAGTCCGCACTAGATATCTATGGAACTTTTAAGCAGAAAATTGCTAAGGAAAGGATCTATGATAATACTCGGGGTAGTTCTCTACTGTTTGAGGCCAGGACGGGAGTATTGTGAACCAAGACATATCGGGCAAATACGAAGGGGTAGACACGGTATGCAGTGCGTGTGGAGAGGAAGAAGAAACGGCAGAACACTTGATAATGTTCTGTAAAGGGCTTCACCCTATAGTTCAGGATGATGGGGCAGAGTTTTTCAAAGCACTGGGGTTTAGGGACCGGGAAGGCAAAATAGACTTTAAGCGGGTAGACTTAACTAGAAGGAGGTTATCTGATTGGTGGCTAAAATCAAGGCACGAGTGAAAATTAAACCCTTCACTGCAATGTACGAATCCTCAACCTCAATATTTAAGGGGAAAAAATAAATCTAGTTTTTGGTTCATTAAGTATTAGAGCTTGGTGGTGCTAGCCAAGTCCCGATCTAAAGGGTACAGCCATATCCATCTATCCATCCTGCGGGACAGGCAGTTTGGCACCCATAACGTTTCTGCGAACTTTTGTGGCTGACTGTATTCAGTTACAGGTATGACTTCAATATTTCAGAAAATATCTGTTTAGCTATGATTCACGGTAATTTGCGAAGCAGCATGCACGTTGAAGCGGAGCCTGCGCGGAGCCATAAAGCACGTGAGAAGATATTGATAAGGGTGGTTATACCGTACTGAATTATGCCCGCCAAAATTTTCCATTTTGAAATATGTCCTTGTAGAATCTAGAATCTCTCAACGGGAATGTTTAAAAGCTCTAAGGCACAATTATTTAGACAGTGCTTGGACATTTCATTACTGTGTCCTTGTGTTCCCCACGGAAATAAATCTTGAGCAACTCACGAACTAAACACATATGTAAAATTTCCTAAAATGAAACAAACACCTTAATAGAAAACATGAATGCTTCTTCACCTTTTTATGGCCACATGTTACGCCATCGACGGCCGAAATATACCAGCTCTCCCCTTCTCTGTTTACAATGCATTTCACCATGCACACTTGTCCCTTGTAAGACTGCAAAAGAAGAAGCGCGTCAAATCAGATCAATTAACGTGCATAATTCACTGTATATTTAGGATGACCACGATATCATAGCTTAGAATTTAGATGGCAATCGCTTTGACAAAAAGGTGGCATTATAAATAGGTCTAGCATTGATTGTGGCGGCACGTTTTGTAACAGCTGGCCTATAGTTGGTTTTGTTGCATTGCACTAATGGTGGTGTGTTCTAGAACTTCCAAAACCAGGCAGGTTTTCGAGTAAAATTTCACTGAAACCAGTCATTATTGTGAAATCTAGAAAGCACATTTCAGTGAAGAGTTTTTCATTGATCCGTCGTGTCCTGGCATACTATAGTGCGCATGTCGGTCAGAATTATTGCAGCAAAGTTGGCTGAAATCCTACTAATGTTTTTTTGTTGCTCTAAAGGCGGGCAATCAACTTCAAAACTTCTGTGAAGCACACGAATAAATATGCACACACATATGACAAATCATGGTTCAAAGTGCCAGCAGATGAAGCTTCAGGGATATTACTGTAACATTCTTTCCTCAAGATTTATTACCGCCTAGCTACACTCTAGGAGCCGCCTTTTGCTAACCGTGCCGACTGACCAAAAACCATTAAAATTGCCGTAGAACATACTGATGTGATTACGCGCACAATGCGAACATTACTGTTTGTTCTAGAGCTTGACTGGCCACGAGCGATACCACAGGAAAATTCAACGGCACATGTATAATTGCCAACGCGCTTCACCGCTTGTCAGGTGATCGGCGGTTGATGGTCTTTTCGCCGCCATCAGTGCCAGTGTGTATCAGTGTAATCTGACTTTGCGTAACGACCACAAGTTCTGCCAAATGAAGAGATTATTCTTGGACGTACCGATCCCTGCCTTCATCAACATCACGACAACGTAATATCTCGGGAGGAGGGAGGTGCTCCTTACATGTACTGGACGCTTCCGTCAAGTCGTGAACCCAGCACCAGTCGTGAACAAGAAATCAAAGCAACCTACTACTGGAGTACGCACCTCCAGGTCTACTACTGTAGTAGGCACCTCCAAATGGCAAGACTGAGAAGACGAATGCCATGACTTTGACTGTGGCAGCGAGGACGGCCACTGCACCATGGCCTGCAAGTGTGATACACCGGCCAAGAAAGACACAGACTTTCCGTAGGTCATCTTTTTAAGACCCAGAGACTTCACTGAAGACCTACGGCAGAGTGACCACCCCAAGCACTGGCACATAGAAGAGAAGCTGCCTCGTGTTTACTTCTACGTGGAAGACTCGGGATGGATCTATAGTTTGGCTATCGGGAGTCTGCACTTCATACCTGGGATCTCAACCACGGCACATTCCTGGACACGTTCAGGAGAACCGCAAGCAAGGAAGAGCTGCATTTTTTATGGAAACCCGGGTCCTGCTAACAAACGAGAATGTCATGGTATTCATATAAAATAGCCGGTCTGTTCCGCCTCACTGACCCCCACATGTCGACGAGAACAAAGATCGTTGCTTCATGCAATGGTTTAAACAGACCTCTTCAGTCGATATGAGAAGTCCACAAAAGACTACTCGGCAATTCTGCTGGGAAGCGTAAACGATGGAAGACGCTGGAAATGCACACATGCCTAATAAGTCAGCAGCTGACATCAGGCTGCAGGGACATTCACTCGTTTTTCTCAAGCGACCTACACTAGGTAAGAGCCATGGTGCGAGTGGCACCTAACCGAACGATGCTGTAGTGTAAGACCCAGAGGTACTCGATCTCCAACATCGTTCGAGAAGAAACGCTGGGGTCACTGGGACCTGCAGACCTACCGGAGATTTAGCCATAAGCCATGAGCTACGCCAGTGTTGCCCGACGAGTTGCTCCTCATCCACGCCTAAATCAAGAAGCTGCACTGCCGCGTTTCCTTCAGCATACACGACCGCCAATGCCACTGAGGCCATGTCATCCTCTTGCCGGCCAGCACTACGCTCGCAGGAAGACCATTATTAGGCAGGCCCTTGACAACCTCCCACTCTGCTACACTTGCACAGAAGCTGGCCACGCATACCCGCCCTATCACTACCGTCAGATAGGCCTACGCGGATTCGGCATCAACGCGCTGCACCCACAGTGCGATAGATTACTATACGATATCATCGGCTACCTCGCAGGAGTGCGGTTGATACTCAGACGACCTTACCACTCAACAATGATCGACCTGAACCTCGCATCCAAAGTAATAAAACAGCAAGTCACCGTGCCACCTTTCTACAGCGTCATCATTCACGTGACACCGAAAAAGCAGAAACCACCAGATTTGCGTTGCAAGATGCATAGCCCCACAAGGCGACGGCGAAGCAGAGGTACTGCTGACAAACTTCAGTCTTCATTATAGGCACCACAACGTTCGTAAACAACAGTCGCCTACATCAATGAATTCGTGGATGCCAGAAATACTTTCTCTCTCATAGATGCTGCCTGAGCGATGAATCAATGTCCCCAATAAAGTTTTGAGTCAACCCGAGCCTTTCGAAGAGTGAGAAAGACCAGCTCCAAACCCCACTCCAGCCATTCATGGGCTGCTTCTCGTCATCACTGCGAATCAGGAGATCCCTAGTCACGAAACATCGCATCATAACAGGATAACGTTCCCGACCTGTTCGACAGAGCTCGTACAAAGTTTACAAGCTCAAACATAATGCAATGAAGAGAAAAGGCGCGAAATGCCACGCGGCGTCACTCAATCATCGAAGAGTCTGTGAGTGTCACTATTGATTTTAGGTGAAGATGAAGAAGAATGAAACACACCGCTATCGCGTCGAATACAGCCAGCTGAACAAAACCAAGAAGGAGATCATGTATCCTCTCCCACGTATAGAAAGCGCCCTAGATCCACTCCACAGCATGAAGTACTTCTCGTCGACAGAACTCAAGACCAGCATTGACAAATCGAGCTCGACTAGAGAGATAGAGAGTGTACTGTCGTTAATTTCCTCCTCCTCGACTAGCTTCAACACTAGCTAAGGAGGGAAGATGTTTGAGGTTCGGAATAGGTCTACTCGATGACTCGAGTACACGGTGGCAGCGCGAAGGAATAGCCGTAGTTCGGTGTAGAGACACTATATTGCAGCCTCAGACTACTGCCTGAATCCAAGCCCGGACATATGCAGTTTAATTCGGATTCAAACATCCTCTTTTCAACCTTCGGTTGAACAAAGAGACTTCACAGAAGCCAATCACACGTGTGGGCTCACATTGCCACAACCAATTGCAGAAACACTTTTATAATGGACACTGAATTGGTAAAAACCACGTTACCAAATAATACACGCAAAGGGATAGGTTCTCCGCGTGTGACATTCTCTCATATGCCAGGCCACGCTGCTTCCGTCGGCCGACTTCCGCCGGCAGCAGTTCTCACGCTCGAGCCCCGTCAGCTCACTCATTAATTGTTGCTTCGTAGAAGCCTCCTTAAGAGTGGTGAGTACACCGTTCGGCTCTGTGCGCTGACCAGGTGTGCATGCGACAGCGAGGCGCCCCGACATCGTAACAACAGCGGGGGAGGTTATGCTCGTCTCCCAGCCACCACTATGTCAGGGTCAGCCAAGTTGTAGCGTTCTCGCGTCATTCTCAATGGGACGCGTGCATGCCAACAATAGCTTAAACTCAGATGGCGGCGCCTGGCCTGCTTCTTGCCAGATGCTCTTCGCAGTAAGCTTTCCCCTTCTAATACCGAACGGGGCCGACCTTGACTGCTCCGCTCGTGAACCGTGCGAACGAAGAAGTCTCCTTACAATCCCGTGCTCGGGTCTTCCGCGTTGGCGTTCGCGGAACCGATCAGCTTCATTAGTTGATGAGACTGGAGCTGGCTACGCACTCTGCATCAGCCGCATTATTTGCGCTACACACAACTGGTCCCTCATACTAACTACTGCCTTTATCACACCAGACGGCCTCTTCAAGATCAAGGTCGTGTCATTGATCTTCTTTTGGCGCTTGCGACTTTCCAGCATGTTATGGACACCGTGCTGGTTGGATTGGACGAGCAGACTTGCTTTGCGTACTTGTAAAAAGTCGACGTGTTTTCGTCAAGCTTCGACGAGCTTCTCTGGCACCTTGAAGCAGTACTTAAAGTTAGAAGCACCTCCGGACTCACCCTGATGCCAGAAAAGGGTCGCTTCATGTGTACGATTTGCTTTTGTTACTGGGTAACGTTATTATCTAGTCTAGAGCACGTCTCAATCTGCGCAAAATGCCTGCAACTCTGATTTCCTTCCACCCACCAACAAGAAGGCAGTACGCCGATTCCGTAGGATTGTGCGCCTATTACGGTCACTCCGTCAAGGAGTTTTAACAGATCACCGAGCCACTAGCTCATGGCACAAAATCTGACGTGGACTTTATAGGGGAAACGGCACAAAAGGAAGCTGGTGGTGGTGGTAAAAAAACTTTTATTTCAGAAAAAGTTTACTAGATAGTGCCGACGTGGCGCATCGGCGTCCTAGAGTGACCAGACCCTATTCCGGGATGCCAGTGTAGCTAGAAGCTGCCCATGCGCGCTCCACCAAGGAGCATTGCGCAGCTAAGGTAGAGCAGCCGAGCAGGTGCTCCTCCCAAGCGTCTCTAGTTGGGATAGAGAAAGGGGATGATAAAAGGACGGGATTAACTGGGCACGGTGCTACGACGTGATATGTGTCGGCGAGGACATGACAGGTCGAGCACGTGCCTTTGATTGCCGGCAAAAACTGCCTGGCGACCGCCGGACTGATAAAGGTGTTCGTCTGCAGGTGGCGCAGCAGTCGTTTGTCCGCTTTTTTCAGACTGCGTGTGGGGTCCGGGTAGAGGCGGCGCGAAGCCCGGTAATAAGCCCAAATTTCATGAAAGCGCGTCAGGTTGGTGTTGCCAATATTCCATCTCAGGACACGGAGGGGCAACGGCCCAGATAGGAGAAGTGCGGGCAGTGGCATTTGCCGCCTCGTTGCCGGGCAGCCCGAGTGGTCTGGGGTCAAGACGATACG